CCGATCTCTATGAAATTCATAGCTTGTCGCGTTCTTCTTCGTTCCTCTTAGTGAAGATTTCATATACAATGAAGCGTCGATAATCCGGTCATCAATAATCCGGAGTGTTTAAAATCCGGATGGCCTAATGAGGAAAAGATTTTCTGCGGAGCGAGAATCGCAACATGATTTAAATTGAATGCTTTCGCACCCCTCCTTACTCTCCTGTTTGCATTTACATTCAACCACCTAAGGTAGCCACGAGCTAGTGGAATGTGGGAGGGGCAACTGATACTAGTCATTAACTCCCTCCAATGACAGCAGGGGCTAACATCGGCAAAAGTGAGACTGCCAGTGCTATTACGTAAACAGAATTGCGCTCGTTGATCCCGTTTCTGCATAGCCACGTTTTTCTTTTCATAGGACTTTTATCTGCATTTGGACTGAAATGGCATCGGCAAAATCTGGCAAGAAGAAACGTAACTTTTTAACAATCGCGAAAAAAATAAAAATTTTATAGAAAATATCAAAAGATGAAAATGGTACGTCTTTGGCAAGAATGTATGGAGTGTGGATATCAACCATCAGTGATTTGAAGAGAAAGAAAAACAGCTTACTGGACTATGCACTAAAGTTTGACTTTCAGAAGGGATCAGAAATCATAAAACATTTCGAACGGTCAATATTTCAGCTTTAGAAGATGCCATGCGGCTAACACAAAGTAGTTTAGGCGAACCGTTATCAGGTCCTCTCGTTCGTGAAAAGACCCTCAATGAAAGACTGGGCATCCCAGCAGATTTCAGGACCAGTTCCAGCTGGATAAAATATTGTACGCTGAGAAATGGCATAAAAGAACTCGAAATTCATAGGGAAAAATTATCAAGTGATTTTAGCGCTGCAGAGGCATACAAAAAAGATTTCCGGCTAAGGTTACAGAAAAGCAATACAGCAAAAGGACGCATACAACTCTGATGAAACTGGTATAAACTGGCTGGCCTTACCACGAAAGTCGCTAACTTCTCGTCAGCTCCAGGTTACAAAGTGAATAAAGAGAGAATAACTTCGATGGAGTGTAGCAATGCAAGTGGAACCCATTATTTGCCGTCAATCATTATTGAAAAAGTCAAAACCCCAATTCTTCAAAAATGATACGTGTGTTATAAATCGCATATCGTAAAGTTCCTGGAGGACTGGTAACATTTTCAGAGACTGGTATGTGAACGAATTTGTGCCAGGCGCAATTAAATACTTCGAAATTGGAGGCAAAACGGAATAGGTGCTTCTGATTATTGACAACGCCCCGACACATCCACCAGTTGAAACTCTGAACGCCATTGACGACGGTTTTGAGGTACAGTTCTTGCCTCCCAACGTAACAGCTTTACTCCACTCGATGGACCAAGCAATCATTGAGAAAATAAAACAAATGTACAGCAGAAGCTTTTTGTGCCGTCTGTTGCTAACATAACAGAATGACGAAGGTGTTTTGGCCTTTACGAAAGCCTCAGGGACGGTGATGACATGCTTGTAGGAGCCTGAGAAAGCCTGACGTGTAAAGATTTGGAAAATAGATGTAGAAAACTGTGGTCTAAAGAAGAAGAAGGCAGAAAGTTCAACCTGGACGTGAAGATGATGCAGCGACGTCAGTCTTGGAAGAAGTTACGGCACTTTTAGACTCAAGCCAGATTTTGAGGAT